GTTAAAACTGTTTTTAGAAAATATTTTTAATTTCAGCAAGTTTGGTTACTTGTTGCATGACTTAACACAACTGACTTTTTGTGTCAGTATAATGTATATTTTTTGTCCTGTTATTAATTTGTAAGCCTTGGGGTAAATGGCCATTTATTTGTACAGCAACAGGAGGAAATTGAAGATAACTGGCTAGGACTGGAGGGGTGGACTTTTGTACTATATTGAAGAATCCAATATCTGTTTTTGGTGGTTATGTAAAAGGCCTGAAGAATTACTATCTAGTGTGCAATCTGTGATATCTGAATGTTTTATTGTATATTTGTCTCCAATGCAAAAAGGTAGAGTAACACAAATACAATACATGATTAAATGCAATAGTTCAGGTACCTTTTTTGTTTTTCATTTCAAATAAATACTATTTACCACCAAGTTTTTCTGTCCAGATCTCTTTGAAAAATTGTATAACCAGCTTTTACTGGATAAGGAGCATGCACCAAGAATTCTGTTTCCAGCCAAGTCAAACGCAACCCACCCCAAAATCAAAGTAACTCCCAAGTGTTTATCCAGTGCAAACTAAGAAGTTAATACAAAGCACTGAACTGTTTTGATCCGAGTTGCTGCAGTGATTAAGCATATAGGACTGTTTAATTTTGAATGAAAAGTGAGTTTCCCAGAAGCTTGCATTATTCAAATAATAAAAACCATGGTATTTAGGATGCTAAAGTTTATTTATTGTGCTATAGTAGCAAGCATGAAATGTAAAGAACTATTCCCTTGAATTTACATAGAACTTTTTACCATACATGCTATTCCTCTTAACCTGCATTTGTGCTTGCTGTCCCTTCCAAATCTGCTGTCTTTCAAAAAATATAAGACATAAAGGAAAACTATGAAATGGAATCACAGTAGGATTCCAATTAACTAGAAACTAGGGCTAGCCATTATTTGAAACATACTCATCTATGCAGCAAACAAGTTGAAGCCTCCCGGTGTGGCTTAATTGGTCTCAGAAAATAATAGGTGTTTTGTGGGTAGAGGCATCTCTCTTCTAAGCCCTGCAGCTTTGTAACCATGGGCAACTCAATTAAGAGGCTAGGAAATGATACGTAACTTTTCCTAAGCTGCTTACCTCACAAGCAAATGCACAAAACTGTATGCAAAGTTTAAAACAAATGACTTGGTTGCCTGGCTAAGTAAGTTCTTGACACACAGGTCCATGTGTCATCGTAGTACACAGAATAAATTTTCATTCGCTTTGAAACAGTCCTCAATATCTGCAAACAGCAGTTATTTTTTTTTCTTTTAGGAAGTTTTGGATCAAGGAGTAAATGTGTTTTTCCTAAGTGGATAAAGGGAATTTAGCTGATTTTTTTTTTGTAAATGTTTTTCTTTACTCCTGCTGTGCATTTCAATCAAGTTCTAGAATAAATGAATCATGTTGTATTAAGTCCCCTTCCTAATAAGAGTTAATTGAAAGTGAAAAAAAACCCTCTAGAAATAATCAGGCCTGGATTGGCACAAGGTTGAATTGGATTGGTAGTTTGTGCTTCTGTAGAGCATGTTGCTTGAATTAGACCATTACTTCAAAATACGGTTTATTTGGGAACATAAGCGAACACAGTAATTGCTAAGTTTATATTGTGTGTTCCTGGCCATTAAATATCAAAACTGGATTCAAAAAAATGACTTTTCCATTGGTTTATTAGTAACCTAATGGAAGCATCAGTTAGCTTCTTGAGGAATTAAAGCAGAACTTACAAATTAACTGCAATCTGTAAATACTTTTCACACACACAGAAACCTCACAATGCTGTTTTTTTTTCCAGCAGAGCTTTATTATCTCCAGCTCAGTTCTACAAAATAGTCAAAACACATCTCAATGTTCAAACATTTACAGTATGCACAATTTTGCTAAGCAAGTGGAAGTGTTTTAATGAAAAGTGCAAATTAAAGGCAAATACAAGCCAAAAGTTTCCTTTGGATCACACTGTTAGAATAGAGGTTGCTGAAAACCTCTACTGCATATAACGGAAAGAAAAACCTAAAGCGGAGTTGTATTCTTAAAAAGACATCCAGTACACATTCTAATTCAGCCAATACAATTCGGACATTTTCCAGTTGCTTTCACTAAACCTATAAAGCGAAACTCATTCTTTGTGAATGGCTTATTGGCACTACTTCTTATATATGTTTGAGTACATATATAAACACCTTTTGAAATATTTTTTGTAGCAGTTTATTATGTTATTCTTACATTGTCACCAAAAAGTGTTTTATTTAAAAGATATCCTAAACATAAAATGATGCTGAAGCACAACTAACATTATCAAGAAGGCTTTTTCAGTTGAAGGAATAGCAGCATTATACAGTGGTGTCCCTTATTAGTGCAAACAAAGCCGACTGCTTTAATTCATTTGCATTCAGTTGCTTAATTACAAACTAATTTAAATTAAAAAATATTTAAAAATCACACAAACATAACCCCAAAATTACAATTTTATATTAAAACTGAACTTTACATATTTTTATGATTCACCATCAAGATGGAATAAGTAGCATGTTTTCTAAAGAAAACTTTTTAAAGTCTTATTTTTTACAGATGTACAATGACTAGCATGTTCAGTGCAAATATTCCTAACTAATCTTTAACCCGATGCCAGCATCTCTGTTAGGTATGGTCTTTTTCGCCCTGCTTTTCTCCTTAGATGGCCATGTCCACTGGGCTTTATCCTCTTGTTTAGTGTGAAAGTTGGTAGTATCATTTTAGAAATCTAATCTTTCATCTACACCTTCTTCCTTCTTCTACCCCACCTTGCTGAACATAAAGGAGGATATGGAATGCCAACCGCGGGATTCATTCTGTATAATCCCTACCAAACAAGTATTTTATGCAACCTGAAGAAATGGCACCTACCCAGACAGGTTTCAGTTACGAGTAGCTGCAGCCTCATCCCAAAGGCGTAAGTAGCCTTAGCAAATCTGGTGATCTACCTTATAGTGTGACTATAAGGATGGCTCTCCTACACCAGTCTCGTCTGAAGACATCTGGTGACTGACTTTACAACCACCACAATTGAAAAGAAAAAGAGTGGATGTCAGGGGACTGCAGAATGGACATATTCAGAGAACCCCAGTTCCATACAAATTTCTCAGTATGGCAAATGTGTCTTTGGATGTTCAAGAAAAGAATCTGAAGCCAACCTCAGGGCCTCTTTAGGTTAGCCAAAACCATCTCAGCTGCTGCAAGTACTAAGAGGGCCAAAGACAATGGCTGAAGAAAAAAAAAATCCTGCTTTTATTATAACCTTTTATTATAGCTTTTGCTAATAATTGAGCAATACAGACAGGACAAACACTACTGCTGCTTCCCTATTACTAAAGACAGATTACAAGGAATCCCCAGTGTTTAAATATTGGCAATATTCCTCATTTACAGCAGTTGATAACAGTCTGAATCTATTGGATTTTAGCCTTGTCCAGAGTAATCTTACTATTGCTGAAAATCAAACACACAGGCTTCATTATTTTGGAAGTCAAAGACCGATAGTCGATTCCACAAAACTGCTTTAAAAAGGTAAGCCAAACAGGGAAAAAATAGGGCTTAAGCTGGATTGGATTTAAGGATTGCCTTAAAATCCCACCAAAATAAGAAGCCTTGAATGCTCACCGCAAAGAAAATTAACATTCAAATTAAATTTGTAGGGAACAATCCTAGAAGTTATCTTGCCCAATCCAATTAAGTGAACTGAGCCGTTGTGCTGCTCCCTTCATTTGCATAGCAAGGAAGTCTGTAAAGGCTGCAGCTGTAATACCTTAAATCCTATTGAGTCAGTCACATTCCTACCATGGTTTTTGGCTTCCCGCTTACTGTTATTTGAATTTAAAAAAAATAAGTTTTGGGGATTGTGACGTGATGAAAGAAGTCATGCAGAAGAACTGAATAAATTAAGGAGCTCTTTAAAATGTGACACTTTATGCGAGGCTCAAGAAAAGTTTGACTAAAACTGAGCCCATTTCAGTGTTGTCCTTCAGATAGAGCAGGTGCTTGACGTCCTCCTTCCAAGGTTAAGATGATGGAAACACAAACCCTCCCATAAAAGTAGAAAACCACACTGAACCAAAGCCTCGGTACTTCCTGAAAACATTCTAATTGCCGGAAGAGCCCTTCTATTGCACTTACCGTAAAAGACACAGAACAATTAAACTTAAACTCATCTGAACGTTTTGAGGCACGTTTCTTGGGAGCCTAAAAGCTCTGAATGGAACTTGCTTGGGAAAATGCAGGCCACCCCTCAGGTAACTAGAGCCCTGTAATTCCAGTTAAGGAGTATCCAATCCTCACTTCAACTCCCACAGAAAAGATACTCTAAAACAGTGTTTCTCAACCTTGACAATTTTAAGGCATGTGGACTTCAACTCCCAGAATTCCACAGCCAGCATTGCTGGCTGTGGAATTCTGGGAGTTGAAGTCCACATGCCTTAAAATTGTCAAGGTTGAGAAACACTGCTCTAAAAGCTCATACTAGACCAGGGGTAGGCAACCTTGGCTCTTTTATGACTCGTGGACTTCAACTCCCAGAATTCCTGAGCCAGCTATGCTGGCTCAGGAATTCTGGGAGTTGAAGTCCACGAGTCATAAAAGAGCCAAGGTTGCCTACTCCTGCACTAGACTCTTCTCTCCCCAATACATACCTAGTGGGTTTTGTTTTTGTTTTTTTATTATGGAACACAGTCAACCTGAGAAACTCAAAAAAGATACAAATTTGCCCATTTCTCTGCTTTGGCAGCGATGGGAGGAAAGGAAGCAATAGAGCAAAACAGCTCCTATTGCCATTCGGTTATTACTTAAGTTATATTATCAAATAACTTGAGGTACCAACACTGTACTACAGAATGCCATTCACTGAGCTGGTGTCATTAATATCATTGCACTAAATGAGGGGTTGTTGCTTTTTTTATATATATATATATATATATAAATTGCACGCCCTAATTGTTTCTTTTAACTTTTATTTACTAGGAGCAGGTGCATCATTGCTCAGAACAGAACAGTTAAGACCAAAGCAAGACGTCTCATTCCATTCATTCGAGAATATAAATTATTGCAAAAAACATGCGGTTGGTTAAAGAGAAACTTAAAAATCTTGCATGGCATCCCGGGTGTTCACAGTATTCTCCGTAAACAGTCATATCTTTGGACACAGGCTGGCTTGATTCCCACACGCCTCTCTCTCTCTCCGCAGAAGCAGAACTGGGGTCCCAGCGGGGCTTCCCTTGGTAGTCCACCGTTCAGTCCTCCTATCCCCTCAAGGATGGCTGGAGGAGTCCTTTCTCAATGAGGTGTGATTTCAAAGTTTTATAAATGTTCAATTGCTCCTCTGGCTGGAGTACCAAGAGTTGGTTCAGCAATTTGCTGGGATTCGGACCTCTGGTGATTACATTGAAGAAGACGACATTTCAATCTGCAGTGCCACTTTTCTATGTGCTTGTTTAATGTGTGTTAGCGATTATAAAAACAATACAGCAATAAAAAAAAGAAACACCCCCCCAAGTGCAAAGATGGCAAAACTAGGCCGCAGCAAAAACATGCCTCTTCCTCAGAAGGATCCATCCCCTTGCTTGCCAAAGGCCTGATGATGAAGAATCTGGCCTTCAAAGCACTCCAAAATACCAGGAGGATCTCGGGAATTTCATCCCAGAGGGCGGGTGCTGTAACACAGAGGCTGTGCTGCTGGAGTCCCAATATGCGGCACCTTTTTAACTGAAGAGATCCAGAGCACAACAACTCTGCTGGATCAAAGCCACCGGGTAGATACGAGGATCCGTCAAGTAGCTGACCCTAAGCCACGTAGGGCTTTAGAGCCAACAACCAGAATTTTGAGTTGCACCCAGAAGCAACTGGCAACCTGTAGGAGTCTGGCAAGTAGAGGTGGCAATGCCCCTCTGTTCCTGAACACTGCCTGTACTTGGTACACTCTGAGCCAACTGAAGCTTTTGAGCAGTCTTCAAGAATAGCCCCATGTAGAGTGCATTGCAAAATCTAGCTGTGAGGCGGCCTGGGTTTTTCATTCAGTCATTTTTGTGTAATGTTTTTTTTATCCTAAGCAGTGTGTGCGCTGGAAGCAAAATAAGCACTTCCACAGTTTTGCGAGGGACAGAAGCAAAAAAGGCAAATTTCAACTGATCACCATTGCTGAAGATGTGATTTCGGACGTGCTGCCTCTTAGCACTTCATAACCTACTGACCACAAGGAGCAGCGGGGGGGGGACGGACAATACGCCAACAATAAGTCCTGCATTTCATCTGTACATCTAATTCCTTCCCGCTCCTTGCTTATTTGATTGTTAATCTCAGGGTTCCTTCCTTCCTGCTTTTGTTTTCTAGCCTGCATCCACGAGAGCTCTCCTCTTGGACTATATCCTCCCGGTGGGATAGAATTAGCTGAGCATTAGGCTTTTCTGACTACCCCATGGGCTTCCTGTGAATAAATCTTTCTGTTTAGATTACAAAACCTGCCTCTGTAATCCTTACTTAGGTTGGATCCTGTTCTCCAGGAACACAAAGTACTTCCTCTAACAATAGCAAGCCTACTTCCCCATTAGAAATAGCTGCCAGGGAATTTGCTATTAGATAACTAGAGAATTTTGCCATCTAAAGCATAAATGGCTGACTCCTCTTGCATGGCTGACCAAGCACTAATACAGATTCCGCATGAGAGGATGCTTTGCCATCAGAGCTCTGCATTTCTCAGTTCTGCTCAGATGAACCCCTAATTCATCTCTGCTTTGCTTCCCTGTTTCAAATGCCACTGGAATAGTGATTTTAGGTGATAAGGAAGGTAACGGGTGGGACCCAGGACTTTTGCTAAATACAGGTAGTCCTCAACTTACAACCGTTCACTTAGTGACCGTTCAAAGTTGCAACGGCACTGGAAAAAAGCGACTTACGACCGTTTTTCACACTTACGATCGTTACAGCCTCCCCCGTGGTCACATGATCAAAATTCAGGTGCTTGGCAAGTGCTTCACATTTATGACGGCTGCCGTGTCCCGGGGGGGTGTCATGTGACCAGCATTTGCAACGTTCGGATCAGCCAAGTCAATGGGGAATCCAGATTCACTTGACAGCTGGTACTAATTTAACAAATGCAGTGATTCGCTTAACAAGTGTGGCAAAAATGTCGTAAAATGGGGCAAACCCACTTAACAAAGGTTTCACTTAGCAACATAAATGTTGGGCTCAATTGTGGTCATAACTCGAGGACTACCTGTGTTTTACACAATGTTCAAGACAAGTGAAAATAAGCGATTCTAATTATATACCATGGCAATCCTTCCTTATTTAGAGGTAATACAAAATACTATGAAATGAAGAAATTGCTTGCACTGCTACCCTTATCTATACTTTCTATTTTTAGCCTGAACACAGAAACAATACATCCTCTCTGTGCCTGCCTTAGATATCATTTTATAGGCAAAGACTACTGGGCCTTCGGTTTCTAATTGCTGACACATTCAGGAACTCACAAAAGACTGATGCAGCCTCTTTTGCAAAAATAATGCTGAGCTTTCCTTAGCAAAATTAAAGAGTCTCATTCCATTCCTCTAAAAAGGCTGCTTGTTGTGCTATATTTTTATTTCAGCTCAAAATGTTTAAGGTATTATTATTTTTAAGAGCAGAAAGTGATTAAACTTTGAGGATGAGAAGAATCGACAGGGCCAACTATAAAGCTATACAGCCCTTTTAGCAAACAGTACTCAGAACACACTGGCAACAATGCAGCTCCCACAGTGGGGCAACACAACATTAGCAGGTTGTCAGGAAGCAGGCCGACAGCTGATTCAGTGGATGGAAACGGCTATGGTTAGTCTCTGGAAGATAAACCATTTCCATTTCCAATCACATTGCCAGTTTTTCCTGGCAATTTTTTTCAGATTTTCTGGTGTTGGGGGTTAATAGATGAGAATTAAAGAGTTTGCTTTCTCCAAAACCTGGCCATTTGATTGGGGTTCAACACCCTATTCTCAGAAAACTCGGGTGCAAAAATGAGGTGCTGGGGAACCACGTGCAGCTTCCCAGCTGCAGTGTCACCCATTTTGGAGTCCAAAGGAATGGTTTAATTAGCTTCTTTGCTCTCAACACCAGTCTGACACAGCCCGGCGTTTGAGACAAGGCTGATACAAAAGCATTTGTGTTTTTCCCGAGAAACTCTACAATGACAACTTGCAGAAACATACCTTATGAAACTGGTAATGTAGACATGTACAAAAGTAGCCATCAAGTACTGACAATCAAAACGATCCATTATTCCACCGTGGCCAGGAATAGTATCAGCAAAATCCTTAAAGAGAAATGGATGTCCCTATATTAAGTATTTGAGTACAGTTAGAACCGTTTAGTAGGACTATCAACCAATTGAACGTTATCACAGTGAAACTCTGATCTGGCAGATCTCAGTAGAATGGACAATGCATAGCATTCCAACCAGTAATTTGCACAAGTGTGTGGTGGTGATGTCATTATGCAAATTACATAATTTGTAGCAATCTTGTCATTTGCATAATGACATACAAGTGACATTATTTTGGATTGACTTGGGCAATTTGCATAATGTTTTTATGCAAATTACATTATTTTGTATCCATTTATGTCATTTGCATAATGAGGCCATCAGACAAAAGGCATAAATTGATACAAGTGGCCTAACTTGCATAATGATCTCATTACCCAAATAACATAAATTGCTATGTTTGCATGTTTTTGTATTGAACAGACTTTTGTGAATATGACACATCTCTTTCCCCTCTAAATCATTAAACATTATGAGGTTTCATTGTTGCTGTCTTTTAAACTAATGAGAAGAAAGTTCACTATCACTGCAGTAGTCAATTAATAATAGTTTATTATCTTTAGCAACTGAAGAAACATTTTTTTTAAATGTGTACTTGCAAAAAGCCACAGTAGGTTATGCACTCACCTTGATTTTGAAAGCTCTTTTGAATCCACTAGCAAAAAACCCTCCAAATGGCCCAATTAAAGATGCAAATGTTGACAGAGCAAAGCTGTGCATCTGGAATGGATACATCGTCACAGTTTCCTGCAATAAGACATAAGTGTTAATTTTTAATCGGCATTTATTTGACATTAACACAGAGAAAATTAGTCCTAAATTTAAGCATATTAAAGGATTAAAAGCTTTCCAGCAAAATTGACAACTTAATTGTACAAACAAGAAATACCCCTGGCAGCCATAGTAAAAGGTGAAGTAAAGGTTGGAGATATGTCATCCACAGAAGTTCATATGATCCTTTTCTGTTATGAAAAGGGTAAATGAATCCTCTTTTGAGGCTAGCTTAGGCCAGAAGAAGTATGATTTCACCCAAGCCGTGTTGCTGAATGATGAGTTCTTTCCTCATTGGCCTCAGCATCAGCAAGTTAATCTACCCAGGCATAGAAGCGAGCAAAGTAACTGAAGCTCTGTCCAGCAGAAGAAAGATGTGTGTGATCAGAGACTTGGACCAGAAGTATACTCTTGTTATTTAAATGAAAGGCATGTAATTGGGCATTCTAGCAGCAAGAAAGTTCTCAAGGTGGTAGAAAGTCCTTCTCAAACCCAGAGGACAATCCACAGAATGGGTTTGTTTCACATCTTGCTATCAAAGTGCAAAATGGACCTTTCTTTCTGCCTATTCTGCCATACTGGGTCAAATGAGGTTCTAACCCTCTGCCAAGGATAGAGGAGTGTCATAAAAGGGAAAAAAAACCTAAAAGTAAAGGTTTCCCTTGTTCAGTCATGTCCAACTCTAGGGAGCAGTGTTCATGTCCGTTTCTTAACCAAGAGAGCCAGCGGTGTCCAAAGACACTTCCGTGGTCAGGTGGCCAGAAAGACTGAACGCCGGGACACACAGAACACGGTTACCTTCCCACTGAAGTGGGACCTGTTTTATCTACTCACATTTGAAACTGCTAAGTAGCCAGGAATAACAGGCACTCAACCCGTTGTGCAGCACTCGGGTTTCAAACCTGGACTGTTAGCTTTCCAGCTGAGAAGCTCAGCATTTTTACCCTCTGAGCCACTGCGTTTTTCTTCATAAAAGAAAAACTGAACAGTGATTTTCTATGTGATATATTCTTGTACCTGTGGGAACTACGGTGAAATGCTTGTTCCTAACGTTATTTTATTCGTTCTAACAAGCTAACCGGAAGGAGAGCTGGGCATTTTTTAATTTTATTTTATTTATTTATTTTTGAAAATTTTATAAAATTTTACAATATAAATCCCCCCCTCCCCACAAACCCAACCCTCCATCCCTCCCCCCCCACTTCCCAGAGCCAATCACAGGATTAACAATAAAATAATCATAATCTAACTAACATTAATCAACTATTAATCTAACAAATCTATAACTTCCTTTAACTCTCTTTTAAAACAAATATACAATTATTAAGTACCATAATATTAACATAATTTTAAATATTAAAAATCAGAAATTCATTCAAAAACCAAATGATATTTTTTGGTTCCATATTTAATCTCAATATAATCAATCCATCTTCTCCAAACCGATATATATCTTTCTTGTGAGTAATCCTTCACATAAGCTAGGCATTTTAGATACTTTAGCCCAGGGGTGTCAAACTGCCGGCCTGCAGGCCGGATACAACGTAATGAAACTGCGCCCGCTCCATTGCCGGCAATGGCAAAAAAAGTCACGACACATCATGTGACATTGAGAGTTTGACACCCCCCGCTTTAGCCCCTTTTTGTAGCCAATTTTCGGAATGCTTAAGATCTAGCTTTTCTTTAAGGGCTTAGCTTTACGTACCTTTCTCAGAACAACTTGAAGCAACGGCGGTAAGGAGTACTTCTTTAGCTGGAAAAGTTCTGATGGTTCACATTCTGTGACAAACCTGTTAGTTTCGCTGTTGTATTCCACAGGACATACGAAGTACTGGTATTGTGCCAGGAGATGCGCGACCTGAAAGGACAACAGAGATCCTTATATGTTGCTGATTAAGGGCTTCCTGTAGAGTTGGGGTGTAATTATGAACTTCTCCAATCCTCCACCAAGCCTTTATAATCAGTGTTTCTCAACCTTGACAATTTTAAGGCATGTGGACTTCAACTCCCAGAATTCCACAGCCAGCATTGCTGGCTGTGGAATTCTGGGAGTTGAAGTCCACATGCCTTAAAATTGTCAAGGTTGAGAAACACTGCTTTATATCCTCTGAAATTAGGTAAATGGTGGCTGGAAAAAAAAGCTTGGGAGGAAGAGACACAACTTGGCTAGGCTGGCTGGCTTTTAACCTGTCACTCTTGATAACTTTTGATTTCTACCAAACCATTACTCAACTATTATTACCAAACTATTACCAAAATTAAGCAAAATGCCCACACATTTGCAATACTGAATGCTGGCGTACAGACTAAGAAGAGGCCTTGTCTCCTTCTAAGTCAATTCTTAAAAGTATCTGTCCTTTTAGGATTTATATCAGGGTAGACTGTCTATAAATCTTGCAACCAAGGGAAATCACCCACTATCTCACATTGTCCTTTGTACCAACAATTAGGACAACATAAATCTTATTCCATGAGCCACCCAGGAACAGCGAGAACACCTGATGGATTCGGTTTATTATTCAAAACCAGCTGTTCTTCCTTATCCCTGTTTATGGCTGCAGAACTCCATTTGGAAATATCAAGAACAATATTAAAGATCTGTCCAATGCATATCATCCAGCTATAAATTATATTGAATTATGTTACTACGGGAAAATGCTATCATTGCAGAGCAGTGCATACGTCAGGGGTGTCAAACTCAATTTCATTGAGGGCCGCATCAGCATTGCGGTTGCCCTCGGGGGGCCAGGTGTGTGTGGTCAGGGTGGGTGTAGCCTACTGGGTGGGCGTGGGTGGAGTGGGTGTGGCCTACTGGGTGGGCGTGGCCAGCTCTATATCGTTCGCGTCAAGGGTGCCTGTGGGGGCCTGGGCAGGAGTGGGACAGATCTGAGGGTCTCTGGCAGAAGGGGGTGGGACCAGGGCAAGCGCCAAGGCATGGTCCATTTCTTCATTCCTCACAAAGGGTGACACCTCCCCAGCATGCACCCAGGGGACGGGGCCGACACAGCAGGGGCTGGTTTCTCGCTGTTTCTAGACGGCCTTGTGGAGCTAAGACTGAAAGCGTTTCAGCATAGATGGCCACCACCAAATTGTACATTGGCTCCCGGATGGCCTGGGCCAGGGCCAAGGCAGCAGGGGCCGTTCCCTCACTGTTTCCAGGATGGCTTCGCGGGCCACATGAAACCACTTTGCGGGCCGCATCCGGCCCCCGGGCCTTGTGTTTGACATGTCTGGCATAAGTAATAATCCCAACCATGTGCTTAAACTTTTAGTTTCTGACTTGAGGCCGATCAGTAAAAATAATTAGGGTTGCTAGCAAAGTTAAAGCTGCTTCAGTAGTGACCCACTGGCTATGAAACTGCTTTGAATTACACAAGGTCCTTACATTTTTAAGATTACTTCAATGTCTTTACTATATTGCAGCCTGCTTTTTTTAAATGGGTTTTGAATCTAAGTTTTATTTATCTTAATGAAACTTTTAATAGTTACATTAAATAACAGCTTACCATAATACATCTTATTTATATTCACAATACTCATCTGAGAGCCATGTCTTAAAAAAAATATCTAGAAATAATGTACATATTGTTCAGCTGGATGTGAGTTACTTCTCAGTTTCCACAATGATTTTTATTATGGTGGTTACAGAGGGTTACTAATATACATAGCATATTAATAACCACCCATTGTAATATCTGCCACCCGTAAACTTCAATAAGAATAGAGCATTAGGTTTTAACTTACTGTTTAATGCTTAAAGGCTACAGATTAGCAGCAATTCTAGTCTTTCATTCCAATTTCAATACCAGTACCAAATAATACAACAATAACAAAGAAGATACTGCATCCACTTACAATAAATCCAAATATGACTGTGATAAAGAAGCCACCAATGAAACCTTCCCAGGTCTTTTTGGGAGAGAGCTAATTAAAGAGAGAAAATAAGAAATTAAAAAGCAGCGTGTGGCACAAGACTCTTTTCTCTTCTGGCAAACATACTGCTACTCTAGAAAATGATGATTCATTTATTTTTGTCCAGGTTCCTTCCAAACAACATGAAAACTGAGACACAGTTATACAAAAATAGGTCACTTATTCCATGAAAGGTGGAACAATCTGTCAAGTGCAGGAAATCAGGAGTCCAGGCAGTTAAAATATATATATATATGACGAGTGGGACCTCGTCGAAACGTCGCCAAGATACTCTCAATCTTACACGGGAAAAGACCCGAATACGCCAAGACCTGCATACCTGTACCCATGAAAATCTACAAAAACATATATATATAACATCTTGTGAAATACATCCTATTAGCAATGTAATTGCTAACATGACCAAACAGGTGCCTCAACACGCCAAATAAGAATATATACAGTGATGCTTAAAAGTTTGTGAACACTTTTAAATTTTCAATATAACCTAAAACCTGACCTCTTCTCCACACAGGTTCTAAAACTAGATAAAGAGAATACAATTAAATAAGTGATTCAAAAACATTACATTTATTAATTTGAGAAAAATGATCCAAAGCTACATAACAGTATGTGGCAAAAGTATGTGAATCTCTAGAATTATCAGTTCATTTGAAGAGGAAAGTAGAGTTAGGTGTTTCAATCGGTGGGATAATAATCAGGTGTGAATGTGGGAGGTCCTGCTCTATTTAAAGGAGAGAATTCTGAGTAGTCTCTATCAAAATAAGATTGTTACAACACAGGTTTCTGGAAGTATATCGTGGCTTAAAAACAAAGGAGATTTCTGAGGAACTCTGAAAAACATCTTGTGAAAAACATCTAGCTAGAGAAATTTACAAAACTCTATCCAAAGAGTTTGGACTCCACCTGTCTTCTGTCAGGCAGTATATGTACAATAGAGGCAATCCAACATTACTATTTTCCTCCTCAGGTGTGTTTGACCCACCAAGATCACCCCAAAAATAAGGCATGTAAATAATCTGGGAGGTCTCAAAAAACCCCAGGATAATAACATCTAAGGCAGGGGTAGGCAACCTTGGCTCTTTTATGACTCGTGGACTTTAACTCCCAGAATTCCTGAGCCAGCCATGCTGAGGGGAAAGGGAGAATTTCCAAGCTGAGCCATGCTGGCTCAGGAATTCTGGGAGTTGAAGTCCACGAGTCATAAAAGAGCCAAGGTTGCCTACACCTGATCTAAGGAATTAAAGGCCTCTCTTACATTGGCAAACATTGGCGCTTATGACAGCACCATCAGTAGAACACTGAAGGACAATGGTGTGCATGATGGGGTTGCAAACAGAAAACTACATTTCAAAAACAGCATTGCTGGCCATCTACAGCATTGCTGGCCATGTGAATGATCACATGGATATGCCAGAAGGCTATTGGAAGAATGTTCTTTGAACGGAGGAGACCAAAATAGAACTTTTTGCCTTGAATGAAAAGCATTATGTTCGTCGAAAGACAAACACTGTATTCCAGCGTAAGAACCTTATCCCATCTGTGAAATATGGCGGTGGCAGTATCATAGTTCCGGCCTGCTTTGCTGCCTCCAGGCTAGGATGGCTTGCCATCATTGTTGGGATTTTGAATTCTAAATCATATCAGCCAATTTTACAGGAAAATGGCAGGGTATCTTTCCATGAACTGAAGCTCAAAAGAAAGCTAAGACTACGACCCAAAACTCAGAAATCATACAACGAAGGAAGAGTTAATGTTTTGGGCTAGAAGAAAGTTAATGTTTTGGGCTAGCTAAAATTTCTCAAAGCTAATATGCAGAATTTGAAATGTTCAGTTGAAGTTACTGATGTCCAAGTGGGCACAGAATTACTGAAAACAATGTACCTTTGCCACATGCAAATATATATAGCTTTGGATCATTTTCCTAAATGATAAAAAAAAACAAATCTAATGTTTTTCATTTGTTTGGTTAATTTATCTAGTTTTAGGACTTGTGTAGAGAATAAATCGTGTTTTAGGTTGTATTTATGTCAAAATATTGTAAATTCAAAAGGGTTCACAAACTATTAAGCATCACTGTACTGTCTGATTTGAGTAATGATATTTCTAGGAGGGTAGTAAGATTTACTTTTCTAGCAATCATAATTTGGTATGGAATGGTGGTAATATCAGTAAGAAATAAGGATACTTATATTTTTTATAATATACATATCCCGATCAACTATAAAAAATAGTATTTTTATACACAACCATAATCTTACTGCAGCAACTCTATTTCCACTTTGTGTCACTGTAATATGAAACAATCAGGCATAGAAAATAACTAGGAATAGAATAAATCAAGCAGTTTATAATCCAGTAGAATTATAACAATCAGAAGATAGTGTTATCCAGCTAATATGAATGTACTGTATGTTAGATTGCTAAACTAAGATTATAGTGTTAGAAATACAAGCACAAACTATTTTATTTGGCACTTTCACTGTCAGAAAAACACCCTTTATGTCTCTTACCAATTCTGACGGATTTCTAAAAGAACTTTATAAGGGATGCCTCTCAAATAATAAAGTATTTTTCAAAACCAGAGGTGGTTTCTGCATAGACTGGATGACTATGCAGAATGTCACTCAGATATCAAGCAATGTGAGAAAATACTGGAAGTGTTTAAAAAATTTCTCTGAACTAACTTGTAATCAATGTGCATATTTCAAACTATGTATTTTTACTCATTTTACCTTAATTAATGGTGTTCTGCCAAAGAAGAATCCAAATATATAAGCAGCAATATCATTGCAAATGACACTTGAGATTGGAACAAGAAACCTGCACAGCAAGGAGGGGAGGAAAAGTTAAATTATTTAAATTTAAAAAACCAGACCGTATTATCACCATAATGCCTTGATCTGTAATGTATACTTCAACAATACTGTGTCTACTAAATCACCAAGAACTGAACTCAGTTCAAGAGAGTCATTATCTTTTCGCCAAAGGGAATCTTATTTTCATTTTAATTTAAGAGCAGCTGTTGAACAAGAAAATGAGGTAGGCATAATGGTAGCCCAAACCAGTGAAACTATAGCCATTTGAATCAGGGAGAGTGATTTTCAATAATACATGGTTGCTACACTATATTCATCCATGAGTTTTCAACAAACAGATACTGTACTCCAAGCATCATTATACTCCCAAGTATCATTGGATATCATTGGATATCATTGTATATCCAAGTATCATTTTCAACAAGCAGATACTGTACTCTAAGTATCATATAATAGCAAGTGCTGCTACTATGTTGGTTGGATTTGTGAGGACTTTAGAAAAAGGTGCAGATCAAAAAAAAAAGTGTAGCGTTATCTTGCTTGTTATATTATACCAGGGGTGTCAAACTCACAACGTCATGTGACGTGTCGCAACGTATCGCGACTTTTTTCCCATTGCCGGCAATGGGATGGGCGCGGTTTCGGCATGACACATCCAGCCCGTGGGCCGGCAGTTTGACACCCCTGTGTTATACAATAAGCTTAACACAATAATGCTCATTAACGTTATGGTACAGTTAGCCCTTGACTTATAACCATTTGTTTAGTGACTATTTAAAGTTACAACAGCGCTGAAAAGAGACTTATGACCGATCCTTGCACTTATGACAGTTACAGCATCTCTATGGTCACGTGATCAAACTTTGGGCATGTATTTATGACAGTTGCAGCATTCCAGGTTCATATGATTGCTATTTGCAACCTTCCCAACTGGCTTCTGACAAGCAAAGTCAATGGAAGAAGCTGGATTCGCTTACTGACTGCATGATGCATTTAACCACTGCAATGATTCACTTGACAATCATGGCCACAAGGTGGTAAAATTGGGTGTGACTCACTTAACAACCATCTTTCTTAGCAATGGAAATCCTGGTCCTAATTGGGGTCAAGAACCACTTGTACTTATTTACTTCTTAATTTGCCATTTAACTCTTAGCATGAAACCCTATTTATCTCTGCATATATTCCCACGTACATTATATTCCTAAATCCTAAAGAATCCCATCTGCAGTTTTTTTGTACTCTTAAAAGTATCTCTTTAGCCACCATTTAGCCACCTTGGAGTTAGTTGGCTTCTGTTGCTAGGCGGCATCCTGCTTACTCTCAGTTCAACACTGCTGTCTGCTACTCTGAAGTGCTACCAATGCATAGGCTTAAGTGCATGGTGGCGAACCTATGGCATGCGTGCCACAGGTGGCACACAGAGCGCTCTCTGTGGGCAATGGCATGCATGCCCACAGAGAGCGCTCTGTGTGCCACCTGTGGCATGCATGCCATTGCCCCAGTCCTAGGCCTCTGTGTGCCACCTGTGGCATGCATGCCATTGCCCCAGTCCTAGGCCTTCAGCTGGGTTTTATAAAACCTTTTCGCTTTAGGCCTCTGCCGCCGTGTGCAAAAAAAAAAAAAAAAAGTTCAATCAATCAATTTCAACTTCTTGTGGGGAAAAAAAAAGATCTCGCAAAGTTGGAATTGACTGATTAAACTTTTTAGTCCCACCCAGTCTGCCATTACCACCGCAGCCACGCCCACCTGATGGGCCACGCCCACCTGATGGGCCATGTCCACCCAGCACCCAAGGATATATAAGTGGGTTTGGGTTGCAGTTTGGGCACTCGGTCTCTAAAAGATTTGCCATTGCTGGCTTAAGTTATCCTTCAATTGCCAGTGTGGGGAAAGGAAAGTGGCTGCTGGCTGGCTATAGGCTCTCAGTGTCTCTGATGGACATGGAGTGGCTGCCGGACTCTACTTTTCCTTTCAAGTATTCCATGGTTATTGGAATTCATGCCCAACCTTGTTTTGAAGCCAGTTGACACACTTTATCCATCTACACTTTATCCTGGTACCTGCTCACCTCTCTCTGCTCTCCCACAAGGCAAAACTAATCTTCTAATTCAAACCTACCCACACCAGATGAAAGCTTGATTATCATGACCAATTCTTATCAATCAGAGGACGAAGGATTTAACTGTGAAACTTTATAGCAGTATATTCTTGCTGAGAGATAAGAAAGGTCTCACTTCAAAACCATGAAGAACCCCTGAAAAATAGTAACGCTCCTTAGAGAGAGAATATAGATATAGATATATAAATACCCACATTTGCAAGAATTATTGTTCCCTTACCAGATCATGCCTTCAAACAGATTTTGGATGACAAGATGAGACTGAGTTACAGTGATCAGCAAAGTGACATGAGTCCATGCGAACTGGTAATAGTGTAATAACACAACAATTAGTTACAAAAGCAAAAAGATTTACAAGACAAGACAGTTATGAGAACAGACATCATCTATAACAATATTTATATCTTCCACTTGTTAATTAAAAATGTAAAAAATAACTTAATATGAATGGCATATAACGAAAATCATAATAATCAGTCTAGATGTATACACAATTCAGAACTGGAATATTAAAATGTTAATGATGTATGACAGGATGAAATCACGCTATGTAACTCTGAAAAATTGTGAGTTCTACAAATTATTAATTCTTAAAATGTGATCTCCAGAGAACTAGATAAAAAGTCCATTCAATGTGCTGGCTCTTGTAATACTTGTATAATGAAGTAACAATCTCAATATATTTAATGCTTGCTCAACTAACATAAAAGGTTTAGTTTCCATTTGCATTCTACCAATTACTTTGTTAGATTTGACCCAGATCTTTATTAATTTGATTTAGTGAAAATACTAAAAGAAATGTCTTTTCCAATATAAGCACATAACCTTCAGTTTCTGTTTCTAGAGAATTTTCAAACTCCTAACTTAATTGAAATGGCCATCAGTTAAAAATCATATTAGCTCTAAATAGGCTTGGACTAGATATTACCACACAAATAATCATTTAAGATTTTGTGTCTTTACTACCAGAGATAGGGTTAGGGTTACAAATCTTCAATTCCCCTGCAAAGCAGTGCTACGAGGAGATTTTCCAAGACAGCTCTTGCATTAATATACAATCACAGGATGCAAAAATTGTCAATTTCGTATTTAAATGTTCATTCAGAACATTTAGAATACAGGCAACTTTGCTGACTGAAGTCTATAGAAAATAGGAATCTTTCTTTGTGCTGAAAACATTGTAACATTCTTAGAATTATTGAATAATTAATGTTAGAATAATAAGAATCTGGGATTATTCACTACTAAAGATATCCCTACTGCAATCAACTAAAATGTGGAAATAATAACATGATGTAAATAATTTTGACCTGTGTCCATGAGTCTTTAAAATTTACTTTATGAACATTTCTATTACAAAAACAAAACATGTTTTAAAAAGCAACTGAGATACCGAAAGATTGATACATACCATATAAAACTGTAAGCGATAATGTCTCTTCACCAAACTCAACACAAACATACAAAATCCTATACAAATAAAGAAGACAGGTGTATGTTTTCCAGCATTGTTCTTTTTATGCTAAATAAATCATATCAAGTTCATCAGAAGAGCGTTCATTATTAGTCCATTTGTACTAAGAGCCCACACTGCAATCTATAAATATTTTGAATAAATACATTCAATACTGTGTTGTTTCCATCATGACACACAAAAAACATGTATATGTATTTGTGTCATTTGAATCATGATGTATGTGATGTCACTTGTCACCATCCAAGTTTTTTTCCCCTTCAGGCATTCACTAGGTCAGTTTACACACTATATAATTTAAGATAAACCGCATGATTTGCAGTATGAAAACTGTAAGCAAAGATCCCATTTCTCAAGTTCTGCTAATTAATATCTGCAAATGTAACTACTGTATTCTGATTCAAGGAAGTCTTTAAAACACCGTGGCACAAATTAATTTATAATTTATTGCATCTGAAAAACTAACCTGTTTGCGTCAAATACTTTTTAAATAGAAGTCCTAGCTAATTGTCTAGCTTTGCAGAAAATAATTTGTTTTAAAACCAATATTTCTAGATTGTTCTTCACCTTAAGCAGGTGAGTCAGTTAATTAAGGAATTTCTATAAATCATCTTCTGAAACTATAATTATGTCCCCTATTAAAAACGCAAATTCTATGTAACATTCATTCTTCTTTATCTGTTAATAAAGCTCTGCAAATTAACATACACCTTGATGATCTGTACACCATGCAAGTTTGGTAGGGAAAGGCACATGAAAGGGCAGCTTCTATCTATCATATATAAGCGGTGAATGCTCCAACACTGGAAGTTTTTAAGAAGAGACCAGACAGCCATTTGTCCGAAATGGTATAGGGTTTCCTGCCTGAGCAGGGGGTTGGACTAGATGACCTTCAAGGTCCCTTCCAACTTTACTACTACTACTACTACTACTACTACTACTACTACTACTACTACTACTACTACTATTATTATTATTATTATTATCTACTACCCAAAATGCCCTAGATTAGAATCTCTGCAGCTACTAATGCACATTACATTTACAAAGCAGGAATGCAATTTTTGAAAATATGCAATATAACTCTGCCCTCTGCCTGCTATGTGATCTAGAGAATTTCTTCTTCCTGGAAAATGTTAGCGCCCTTGCTACCTAAACACAGTTTGAAATTAAATGGAGAGGAAACTAAAGAAACCTGACAAAGCGTTGTCCTGACATGTTCCTCTTAGAGTTTTATTCTTCAAGAACCCATATAAAATACATAATAGAAAAAACGATTACTTACTTCTATTATTATTACAATGCTACTGTTAAATTTATGCTCTCAGGACTAAACAAAGATTGCCATGTCTTTTCTGATCCATACTCCAATATCAGAGCTAATCTATAGTGTAAATCTTCATTAAGAATAGATGACAGAAAGAGTAACAAAAAGATTTGATAAGTCTACAATATTCACTGTAACTCTTGGATATGTATTTCATATTACTTTCTTTTTAGTCTTCAAACACTATGGAGCTATGCCAAGTATTCAAAGTGTGTTTCACAAAGCATGTTGTTGCAAACAAAGAGAATCTCCTTAAAGACCAAGACATTCTCCAGGAAGCCTTGTGAAAGCAGTTGCAAAAGCTATTTTGGATTTTCTGCCAGCAAAACGTTTTATGTGCACCTGCATACAGAAATGTCCTTGGAAAACGCCCATAGCCACTGCTTATGTCAACTCACTTTGCAACACATTGCTATGAATGTTCTCCATTCTCCCTAGTAGATGTATTAAGGCCATATACAGTATAAGGGCCACATTTTCTATTTTGAAGAAGAGTACCAGAAGTGGAAGGTTCAACAGGTTACAACAAAGCACACAAAATACATTGACTACTGAGGAGCTTTATTATTACCTGCCAGATAAAGTGTAAAAGATATAAATCGGTGGTAGCGAATTAGGAATTGAAGTTGTTCTCGTCTCTGAACAAAAGTAGCAAAGTAATCTGCTACTGTCTCACCGTAAAAGAAATAGTTCACACATAACAAGAAATACCTGCAACATACATTATAGAATAATTACTTTGTGAGATCTATACATATTACATATAACTTGATAGAATCAAAACATTCACTCAATTTAATAAAACCCAAATAAACTGATACTTTAAAACACACCCTACAACTGATGGAGGGTTGTCTAAAATAGTCATATTTTGCCCTATGAAGAATACAATCATTTAAATTAGTGTTATTTGGTATTTATAATTTGGAACACTTTATTAATTCAATTAAGTTGATTTTATCCCACTGTTGAGGGGTTCTCAATAGGGTTCAGTTTACATGCATTTTGAATGGAAGCAACACACAGTGTTTGGGAGCAGAATCATTAAATTCTAGGTTGATATTTTTTCTTAGAAAGCAACCATGATAAAAAAAAAAGAAGTTTGGAATCAGAGCTAAAGTTTAAAAAAATCCAGTCGTTACGTACCAGCTTAATGTTCTAAACCACGGTAAGTCATAAGATCGATAAACTCTGTAACCTATAGTGATGATTTCATGAAAGCACTTGACTTGTATGGTTAAGACCTGAAATAATGGAAAGGGGTAACAGAAGTTCTAACACAGGGTTTTCCAGAAGCATGAGAGATTATAAAATATTCATATGCTGTCCTTTCTGGAATTTGTCTTAACTAAATGAAACTGAATTGTCCTTCTGCTCTTATAGAGAACCATATTATTCCAACAAAACCACAGGAATTCTGAAAATTGCCCATTCATTAATTCTGAAAATTGCCCATTCATTGCAACATTGTAAGGCACCTCTTGTGCATGAACATCTTCATTCATTTTTGTTATAATTAATCCTTGGATTGTGACTTTTATAGTTCCACCTAGAATTACATGAAATGTTGAGCTATAAAACTTACAAGCAGCATCAGCATAAATGATCCCATGTATATAATAAGGGAGAAACCTGAAATCATTGCTAAAGTTAAAATTCCACGAATCCACCAGTTCTTCCATCTGAAAAAGGGGAAAAAAAGTTGGTTTTACAAACTCTTATAATGTTTAGCTAATCAGTAACATTACAAACAATGAAAGTTTTGAATACAGGAATTTCTTAAAAATAAATTCAACTTCAACATGAGAACTGACAACATACATCTATCAGAAATAGGTCTACTTGTATTCAATGATCATACTTCTAAGGAAATAACCACAGGATTCAGGCAGTCGTTCTGTGGGTAAGATACATATGTGAAGTAAAACTACAGTGCATTAGAAATGTTTAACTAACTCAACATTTGTACGTAAAAGAGTGGTCTGAACTTTGTTAACATGCCCACTTCCATTTAAATGGTTGCTGAAGACCCTTCTAAACAACTTATTCAAAAGCAAACTTTGCATATAGCATGTGACAAATATTAAGTTTAAGTTAATATCACTCCAGGTGCATCTGTCCCTCATACCTGGAAGATAAGCCAGAAAGAGCCTTTTTAAAAAATTTTGGAGTGCTGTCTTTTGCTGGAACAACTTCAGGAACTTCTAAAACATTTCTGAGGTCCAGTTCACCAATTTTTTCATTTTCATCTATATCCTAAAACACAAAGTGCAAGATGGAAACATAATATTTAGCAATCTAAGCACATACATACCAGAGTTTTATTTGTACAGCCAAATAAAACTGCAAGTATAACTAACATAGCTGCTTTGCCCCCAAAAACAGAAAGGATGCAATTAGATCTCCAAACTATTTAAACTGACATAGGTAATGCTGTTTTCTTCTCATTTGGAGACTGACTATAGCAGTTAACAGTTTCAGTATAAAATCTTAACTGCTCACAGAATTAGGCTTTCTGGAACCTGGGACTTTGTATATACATCCTTGACCCATCAACATATAGTTGTAAGATTTGTTGTGGGAATCAGTAAGTTAACACATTAGAGACAGAAATAACATGTGCTATTTTAATACTATATAAGAATAACAGAAAATGACTATGAATACCTAGTTAGACAACTTTAAAATATTCTCTCAAGGCATGATTTTAAGGCTTCACACATTATTTCCAAATGCATAAAAGCTTCTTTCAATAAAGCAGCTAAAAGAAGTCCATAAAAGTGTATTTTAGGTTGCAACTGTAGCATGTCGAAATGTTCTAAAACAAGCAACCATGACTCTTTTATTTCTTTCTTCATTCAGTGATTTTTCTAAGGTGCCCCATGCCCAATGGATTGTGGGCAATAAAAAACATAACAGCAATATAATTAAAACAAACAAACAAAGTAAAATCTTATTGAAAAGTACCAAACCAAACTAAAAGGCAACATGGCCCTTTTGCTCAGCTTGAGCCAATGGCATAATAAAATAAAACTGTTTAACTGCTTATTGTGTAAAGGCGTTCCTAAATTATCATGTTAGAAACAAAATGTTCACATTTAAAATTTTCATACATATCAAAACTGAACATAAATCTCAGGTACAGTTTTAATCAACAATAAAAAACATGAAAATTGGCATGTTTGTTAAATCAACTATTCATTTCTTCAGAATACCTTGAGTTATGTTTTTATGCAAAGAATAAGTCACATGGTTTATCAACAACTAATAATGGTGTTTTAAATACTAAGATTGTTACCCTGAAATTCCAGATTTCCTTAACTTGAAGGAAAGTAAAGAAAGAAGCTATTTCATTATTCTGTTGTACATAGGCAAAATATGTAATTCTGTACTGAATTATACGTGTTCTTTTGAGATCTATATACTCCAGTGATGGCGAACCTTTTGGAGACCGAGTGCCCAAACTGCAACCCAAAACCCACTTATGCATCGTCGGGTGCCGGGTGGGTGTGGCCCATTGGGTGGGTGTGGCCCATTGGGTTGGCGTGGCTGCGGTGGTAACGGCAGAGTGGGTGGGACTAAAAAGTTCAATCAATCAATTCCAACTTTGCAAGATCTTTTTTTTTCCCCGCAAGAAGTTGAAATTGACTGATTGAACCTTTTTTTTTTTGTACACGGCGGTGGAGGCCTAAAGCAAAAAGGTTTTATAAAACCCAGCTGAAGGCCTAGGACTGGGGCGAGGGCACGCGTGCCCACAGAGAGGGCTCTGAGTGCCGCCTCTGGCACCCGTGCCATAGGTTCGCCACCACTGATATACTCCATAAGCCATGGTTTCTAATTGCACAGAGACTTTCTTAGCGAAGTATTGCAAAAACTCCACTCAGAAAAATAATTACCATTTGCTGCACTTTAGTATTTGCTATGCAAAAACCATATTTTAGCAATATTCACATAATTCCACTCTTATAATGTACTAGACAAGCTATGATCTGTTGGGTCAAAGTTTTAGAGCTATTTCCTTACCTGAATATAAAAACAGAAAGATCCTGGACAGGCAAAGGGAATGGGAACAACTTCTAACTTCCTGCCAGCTTCTCAATTGTCTTTCCTTGTAGGAAGTTGACAGGAATGTTAGAAATGAATATTACGTGGCTGTGACTGATTGCAGCGGCAAAAAGCACTGAAGCAGCCACAACTTTGCCAAATTTCAATTTCACAGAAGTCATGAGTCCCAGATTTTTGACAAATTCTCTAAATTAGGCCATTTGAGCTATGTTGCCTTATGATGCGCTGTTTCTAATTGATGATTACAAAAAAAATCAAACAAAAAAAACATCAAACAGACATCAAACAGAATTTTAACGGTATATAGATGTACTAATTAAAGTTTAAATCCAAAATCATACTCTTCCAGTGCTCCTTATCAGAACAAATTTCTTTCTAAAAAGCCTTGTGGGAACATTTTGTTGTAAGGAATTACACCGTCTCTTAACAACAAATAATCTTAACTTTTATAAATCAGGAATTGATTCCAAATGGGCCACATAAAAACATGTGTAATAAATTAAATAGAGTTATTTCTGGATGTAAATAGCCCAACTGATGCATCACCGTGCTAAAATGTTTGAATCAACATACCTCAAATCCACTAACTTAAAAGAATGAGTACATAATCTGGAAGTCATTACTTCTGGGTAACTGAAATTTCAAGGATCTTCACACCAGTTGTAATTGCAAGGTTGTGACTGCTATAGGATCACCATAGGCACATAATCATCACTTCTGACACTCCCTTGCCAGCTTCCTACAAGCAAAATCAATGGGGATGTTGACAGGAATTCAGAATTCAGAAGTTCATCCTATTCCCATTGGGGTTTTTTTGTGTCCATCTATAGTTATTCTGTTTTATCAGTTAGATAAGGAAATATCTCTGAAAGGATAACCTAACAGGTAGTTGTCTAGTAACTAAGTAATATAATTAGTACTATTAATAGCAATTGAGAAATAGTTAAGAGCACAGACTAAATGGAGATGGGAAAATTTAAATGTTGTCCTATAGCTACATAGCAGTCAAGGAAAAATCACTAGATTTGTATCACCAAAGAAGATGTTTGATTAGATGCACTGCACTACTGGTTTCCTTGCATTAAATAAAGAGATAAAATGAACTCATCAGTATCACTTTCCAGCAAAAGGGGTATTGTTGTGAACATTTAGGTTTAGGAGGAGCCAGATAGGTAATCACAGAAGTGAGCAAACAAGGATCATGTACATCCTTTCATTTTTGCTAATTGACATTATGGGAGTAACTGATTCTCTTGATTAGTTGGAGTAGAGCTACAGTTGCAACAATAATGTTAAACTATAATAACAGAAAACCATGAAATCCTAATAGGTGATATACATAATTGAATTCAACTATTAAGTCATATTTTAAAGTTGCCAAAGATAATACAAACCCTGATTTGTTCTAGCACAAAATAATGTATCCGTTCACTGAAGTACAGTGGATTGGGCTTTATATAGGTAGACTGAAGTAAAATCCAGATTTACAGACAAGCATAACAGCATGGAGGGCAGCTTGACTCCCTCTTCTTTGTGGCAACCCCTGAGATATTGGAATTCAATTCACATTCAATGCTCAGTAGACTTCCAGAATATTCTGGAACCGTGAGAGCTGTCCAAAAGGTTCTAGAAGTGGCCAGAATTTTCTAAAACTTTCTGGAATCTTTTAGAACTTTCTGGGACTATCTGGTAGTATCCATAGAAGTATATAAGTACAGGTGCCTTAAACCACCATTTCAGTTTGTCTAATTGCTGAATAAGAGAATAATAATTAGAAATATTTGATTTAGATGGCATCAAGAGGTGCCTTGCACTCAGCAGATGCAGTTTACTATGTATTTGGACAATTTATTAAGACAAGAGTGAAAAAGTACTCCATAAAAGCATCTGATAAGATATGCGAGGCCTACAAATACTTCAGCATGCCTGCTGGGGATCAAGATAAGCCCTGGGTACCTCATTTCACATGCAAACACAGCAGCAAAACTCTTGAAGGTAAGATGAATTATTGTGCTCACTAGATGGAATTTCAGTGATTTATTACAATTTTAAAGAATTGCAATTAAGAAAATTTTCACTATTTTCAATGTTCTAGGAAAATACAGATTACAATATATATTGTGCCCTATGGTAATATAATCTTGCACAAAATTAGATGTGTGAAATACCATTTTTAAACATATGGTATATATATATATATATATAATTCTGCTATGTTTACAGGCTGGTACAAAGGAGAAAAGAGAGTAATGAAGTTTGCTATTCCAAGTATTTGGTGGAAACCAACTGACTACTCAAGCAACTGCTATTTCTGCATAGTGGACCCTTCCAAAAGTCAAACTGGCAAAAGTGCGCTTCCTATCATGTTATCCACACATTCCTTCATCCATCGCCCCGGTACCACACTCCAGGGACTGATCAGCCATCTTCAAGAGTGAGAAGCACATCAGACAGCGAGGAAAATATTGCACATATAGATTACAATTTCACAGATGCAGCTGAGCAGAAAAAGCCATACTTCCTCAATCAGAAAGACCTCAACTATCTGATCAGAGACCTTGGTCTTACCAAGTCCCATGCTGAGCTTTTGACATCTAGGTTCAAGGAGTGGAACTTGCTGGATGAAAGTGTGCATGTCACAGATCAGACAAAGTGTCACCAATTTTTTCCCAACTTCTTCAGTCGGCAAGATTGGCTGTGCTTCTGGAACAATGTGGCCAGTCTTTTCAAGGCTATAGGAATCACCTGCAACCTAAGTAAATGCCGCCATATTCATCCAGAAGCCTCAAAGCTGTGCTGCTTCATAATGGGGAAAAATACCCGTCTCTCCTTATGGTTCACTCTATGCACCTCAAAGAGGACTACACCAGTGGCAAGATGTTGCTGAGTGCCTTGAAGAATGATGACTATGGCTGGGAGATTATTGGAGACTTCAAAATGGTATCATTCCTGATGGGCCTCCAAGGCGGTTTCACAAAGTTTTCTTGTTTTTTGTGCCTCTGGATAGCCGGGACATTAAGGCACACTATCACAGAAGGGACTAGCCACATCGGACTGAGTTGTCTGTAGGGAAAAACAACATAAAGTGGGAGCCGCTGGTAGACCCTTAGAAGGTGCTGATACCACCACTGCACATCAGGTTAGTCTCATCAAACAATTTGTCACAACTCTAGACAAGGAGTCAGCAGCTTTCAAGACACCTTCAAGATCTCTTCCCACAACTGTCGGAGGCAAAAGTTAAAGCTGGTATCTTCGTCAGACCACAGATAAAGAAGATCATAGAGTGTGACAAATTCACCAAGACGCTGAACAGGATGGAGAAAGCAGCTTGGAACAATTTCGTTGTAGTGGTTCACGACTTTTTGGGCAATCGCAAGGCTGAAAACTATGAGCAGCTGGTTCAGACTCTCATAAAGAACTATGCCAAAATGGGATACAGAATGTCCTCCAAAATTCATATCCTTGATGCTTATCTTGACAAATTGAAGGAGAACATGGATGCTTGCTCCAAGCAACACAAATGCTTTCACCAGGATATACTGTCTGTCATGATTCCGACAGATGAAACTCTTCAAAAGAACTTCGAGGCATTATCTTAAAGAATCTTTATTCTGAGTAGCATAACATCGGCACTGCATAATCGAAGCCAAAAACTGAATTCCCCTCCCCTGCACACATAGTATCAAAGCACAATTCCCTCCTCCAATTAACAGTCATAAATCACATTCCCCAATTAGCTTGAAGCCTGGGCTTCCTCTCCAGCCCAGGGCTTTTCAACCAGTGGTACAGGTACCACCTGTGGTACATTGGCACCTGGCAGGTGGTACGCGACCAGCCTAGAAAAGTGGTAGCGGAGGAGGGGAATGAGCTGAATCAGTGGCAACACCGCACAAGCCTGAGCGAGAGATGGCTGGAGCTGCAGGGCTCTCAGGGCTCAGTGGAAGCGCCAGGATCAGCGCCAGGCTCCAGCTGGAAAGCAGCACTGATCCTGGCGCTTCTGCTGAGCCCAGAAGAAGCACCAATCAGCTGGAATGTTGCAGCATCTCCAGGGTCTTGTGATTTACATTCAGATGCTTGGCAACTGATTCATATTTATGACGGTCACAGTGTCCCAGGGTCATGTGAAGTGACCAAAACCTGCTGCAACCCCCCAGCAGATGGGGGGAATAAAATCCAAACACCCCCCCACCCCACCCCCGCTGCCAATCCTCAACAGAAATGCTCACAACAATGAAAACCTCAGACAGGAGGAAGAGCGCGGCCGGGCGGGCAGGCAGGTGTCTTGCTCGGCTGTGGCTTGGGGGGCACTTTTTTCAGTGCCACTGTAACTTCGAACAGTTACTAAGTGAACTGTTGTAAGTCAAGGACTATCTGTACTTTATCACTTTTTTCCTCTTTTTTTTGGTCATCAAGTTTTTGACCCCTTGCTAGGCGACTGGTGGTACTCGGACGTTGCCATATCCTAAAAGTGGCACAATGGGTGAAAAGGTTGAAAAGCCCTGCTCCAGCCAACCAATTCCTTATCAGCTCTGATTACAATAATCTTGTTTCTCACACTAGGTTTAGAGTTGTTATGTCTAGCTGGACTCTCGTTCACATCCCCCCTCCCAGCATCATCTAACTCTAAAAGCTTTAAGGTAAAAGATGGCCACATTTCCATCTGTTGTCAATGCAAAAACATCCAATGTTAGCAGCATTGACACTGCTGTTACCAAGGACAGTATAATGAAAACACGATGGGGGTACTATGTTTGGGGGCCTCTTTGAGAAAGCGATTTGCAATATAGCCGCAAATCTAGAAAATCTACTCATTCTGAACCCTTGAGTGGTTTTGACTGTCTTTGTGTATTTGCCTTGCAAGTATATATTGTTCTTTATCCAACTGCTTAAAAAGATAAAAAAATTTGCCTGTTTTGGAAATATGAAACTTTTGTAGGCTGTGGTCACAAAATCAAAGTTTGTGATGAATATATTATAGGCCAGTAGTGGTGAACCTATGGCACGGGTGCCAGAGGCGGCACTCGGAGGCCTCTCTGTGGGCACACGTGCCGTTGCCCCAGCCTTGCCTCCCCCCGTGACCCCCTCCTCTCCAGCAGCCCCCCTGAAAGAGACTCGTCCTCAAGCATGGCCCACATGGAGCAGCGCAGCCAAGAACATGGCAGCCAGGCAGCGTAGACAAGACTCTGCCCTCACATCCCATCATGCAGTTGATGCTGCAGGGCGCGGGCAGAGGGTGTGACAGCCGTAGCGCTGCTGGGCTGCCTGGGCGATCTGTGGCGGGCCCTGGAGGTGGTGAGTGGTCCTGTGAGCAGGTGTGGGGTGGGGGGGGGCAGAGCAGAGGCGGGGCAGGAGGGTGGAGTGGGGTGGGGCCAGTTTTTGGGCCCTCGGTCTCTAAAAGGTTCGCCATCACTGTTATAGGCTTTAGACATAAGCAATTTAAATATAAAATTTAGGAGCCAGGCACAAAAATTGTTTTACATAATAATTACAATCCATCCTCTCAAATAGTCACACAATTCAATGCAAAGGGTTCTCGGGTATTTTAAAATCACTTTTAAGGCTCTTAAAATGCTGTTTCCAGTCATGTTAGACTTTGAACAGTGCTTGTAACAGATAATATGTGCATACTGATAAATGGTAAGAAGAGAAAATGCAGTATCTTATGTTTTACCTCTTTCAGCTAGACAAAGTCCATAAATTAATAAGCCGTTTGCATCCTATAAGTCTGCCAATAAGGGGAGGAGTGATATATGAGCAGCCTCCTCCTATATAGGACGCAGACTGCAGGTAAGAGAGGAAATGGCCTCTTACCGCAGAAGTGGGAAAAGCAGAACTGCCACATTTTTTAAGCTTCACCAATTCCCATTTTACAGTAGAGTGATAACAAAGGCAATGAAAAATAGCAACCCTGATATCATACATTTGCTCCCTTAAAATTCATCAAATGCAGAAGGTCGGGGGGTGGGTGGGAAACTTCGTAAGAGGGAAGACATGGAAACGAACACCACCCCATTACATTACTCAAGCATATCTTGAAAAGTGACTCTGTAATTGACCGAAAGAGGAGACGGTGAAGAAATATGCATCATCGGTCCCTCCTCCTCCTTCAAAAAATGAAGGGAAGCTGCATTACAAGTCAAAGGAAGAAAAGGCTGCGGAAGCTGGATGAGAATCAGAGAAGAACCCATATTCTCTCTGGCTGCACACCTGGAGACAGGTAGAGAGAGACCCCGGAGGCTCATTCAGGCTTACCTTGTCACCAACGTTTTCGGTTTCGTGATCTCCGCCAGCTCCTCGCCTCCTGAGCTCCGACGACATTTCGGAAGACATTCAAGCAAGCAGCAAGGGCCCAAGGAAGCACTGTGAAGATGTGCAGGGTTGTCAAGCCTGTCTTAAGAGCCGAACTATGCCAGATTTTATTCCAAAGGTTAGGCCTCTAGTACATTTTTATATCCCGGATGCCACCTAGGAACGAACCTGTCGGCGATGAAAAAAAAAAAATCCGATTTCCTCTTTACGGAAGCAGAGCACCTGAAATCACTTCTCTGCTGCAAAAGAGTCTCTCTCTTGGGTTTTTTTTTTTTTTGCAGACTAAGCCTTAAGAGACAGCATTTTGGAAGGCGTCCTGAAGGTCTCTCCAGCTTTTCACATCCAAGTAGGAGGAGGGCCTCTCAAAATCGGAGAGGGGGGGGGGGAAACAAACCTTCATTCAATCCCCAAGAGTGTTTTGGTTTTTTTTGGCTAATCCTTCAAGGAAAAGGGAAAGAAGGCTGGCTACTTCCCACGGGGAAGGGTCAGGATTTTTTTATTTTTTTTTTCAAAAAAGATGAATCCGTGTAACCTTCCCTTCCATTCCAAAAGCTCTTTTATGGCAGGGACACTCACGGGGTGGGGTGGGGGGGGAAGCCACCCCCAATCCTGGCTGAAAGAATAGCCCACAAATCCGATCTGTTCCGAAAATGAGGATGCAAAATTAAAAGAGGTCGCTTGTTTTCACTTCGGAGGAAGTTAGGGGGTCTCCAAGAAACCAGACCGACTGGCCAGTTCTCCAGGCAGGCAGGCAGGCAGGACTCCTTCTCACGCACCCGGACTCGCCCCCGCCCTCACTCCCACATCCCCAATGTAAAGTTCATCTACCTCCGTCGCCTCTCCCCCCCCCCACTTCATAAAAGCCCACCAACCCAAAGCTACGAAGCGCCAGCGTCCCCCCCGCGCCTCCCCATGCTTTCCAAAGGCCTCTCAGAAGAACGGACAGCCAAAAAGCCCCTCGCCTCCCTCCGCCTGGCCCTATTTGGAAGTTTGGGGGGGGGGTCCAGCGACGACCCTTCCCCCCGACAGACCTTCCCCTGACGCCCCCCCCCCCCCCCCCCCCCCGGGGGGGGAGGAAAAAAAAAAAAAGCCGCCGGAGCGCGAGCGCGAAGAGACGGTTGCCTGCGCGCGCACGCACACACACACACGCGCGCCTGCTTCTGCTAAGCAACCTCCCGCTTCTGGCGCTGGGCCGCTCGGGCCGTCGCGCGGCAGCCGGGCCACGCCCCCTCGTATGAGGCGCTTGGCCCCGCCCCCTTTCTCTCTCTCTTTTCGACTCGGCATAGCGGGGGCGAGCGGGGTAGTTACGCCAACGACGTAAGCAATGTAAAAGTGTAAATCAGTGTTTCTCAACCTTGACAATTTTAAGGCATGTGGACTTCAACTCCCAGAATTCCACAGCCAGCAATGCTGGCTGTGGAATTCTGGGAGTTGAAGTCCACATGCCTTAAAATTGTCAAGGTTGAGAAACACTGGTGTAAATAAATACATAATTCAGTGTTTCCCGGCCTTGCACAAGTATGGGCCCAGGCTCAGGAAATGCATCTTGGATGAAAGAGGAGCAGGAGGAGGAGAAAGAGGAGAAGGAATTAGGAGTCCTTTCACCTTTGGTGTCGCTAGGATACCTGCCAAAGTAAAGGCACCTTATATTACAAGTATAAGAAGTAAACTTTAAGACTCGGTAACTAAGTCAGATGTGCGAGCATATGAGCAAACAAGCAGGCGGGTCTGACTAACGGGAATGTGAAAAAGGTAAGTGAGTGAGAAGCCACCGAGGATGTAGCAGCTGAAGGCAGCAGGTAAAGGTGAAGGGAGCAATTCAAGAGTACAGGTAGTCCTCATCTTACAACAGTTCGTTTAGTGACCGTTCGAAGTTACAACGGCACTGAAAAAAGTGACTTCCGATGATTTTTCACACTTATGACCGTTGCAGCATCGCCATGGTCACGTGATTTACATTTAATCATTCAGATGCGTGACAACTGGTTCATATTTATGACGGTTGCAGTGTCCCGGGCTCATGTCACCATCTTTTGCGACCTTCTGGCAAGCAAAGTCAATGGGGAAGCCAGATTCACTCAGTCTTGTAGGCTAATTCATTGCTGACTGGCAGGAGTTCGAGTCTCACCGGCTCAAGATTGACTCAGCCTTCCATCCTTCCGAGGTCGGTAAAATGAGGACCGAAATTTTTGGGGGCAATATGCTGACTCTGTAAACCCATTAGAGAGAGTTATAAAGCACTATGAAGCGGTAGATAAGTCTAAGTGCTATTGCTATTACTAATTTAACAACTGCAGTGATACACTTAACAAATGTGGCAAGAAAAGTTGTGAAATGGGACAAAAGTCACTTAACAAATTTCTCACTTAGCAACATACATTTTGGGCTCAATTGTGGGCATGCGTCAAGGACTACCTGTATAGCTAACAGATTAGAATGTAATGTGGGATTTCATCCAAAATTCTGCCTTGCAGACTTAAGAAGATACATCTGAGATTCCCCAGCCTTTTTTTTTAATTCAGGACATCGCACTTGGAATAAATACAGAATTCAATTCCCAGTGTTTGGGGTATTTGTAAAATATTCGATACTACTTTTGGTCATCTTGAGTAGGGAATGCAAATCTTTTAATGCCATCCTCTGAGCTCTTTATTCAAAAAGACAAGTGACTAATTATAAGTCGTGATGGCAGTGGCTTTCTTCTGTATTTAAAATTCATTTTGGAAGCCACCAAATAAAGTGTGAAATAAATAAAAGGTGTAATTTATTATGCCTCTGTGTAAAGTAGGGGAGAGATTTCCAATCGGTCTAGAAAGCCAAGCTTTCTCTAGTCCAGTGGTTCTCAACCTGTGGGTCGGGACCCCATTTGGGGGTCGATCGACCATTTCACGGGGGTCGCCAAGGCTGTCCGCCATTTTTTTCCCCCTTTTCCGGCGGGTGCCTTACCTCCCTTGAGCTGGGCCAGCTGGTGGTCGGCCTGCTCCGTCTCTGCCGCTTGCCAGCTACACCTCGGCCGGCGCAGGGGGCGGAACCACGCATGCGTGGCGCTCCCGGGCAGGGAAAGTCCTCAACTTACGACCGGTTTAGTCCTCGACTTACGACCGGTTTAGTCCTCGACTTACGACCAGTTGGGGTCGCGGCATTAAAAAGGTTGAGAACCACTGCTCTAGTCCCAAATGGTGTTCTGCGTAGATTCATGAGTACAGATAGTTGTATGGTTTTCACTTTAAAATTATCTCTTCAATAAAACAGCTATTTTATTTCTAAATAAATGTGTTCAGCAGAAGGGAAGCAGAAACAAATCCCATTTATCTTTCTAGTTTAAGGTGATTCAGTGATACAAAATTATACATGCACAGCATGTATTTATTCATTTTAAATCAAGTTAGTAAATGAAATGTATCCATAATATAGCATATATAACTGTAGTGGGAGGAATGTCAGTATGGGTGGAAATGCTAGCTGTGTGTTTCATAATTGAAATACTGCATATGACTCTCTAGGGACGATCCCTATCAAACTATTACATCTAGCTTTCTACTGAGGTCACATTTGCAATATGGAGATTGTTGCAAAACAAATTCATTGAATCTCTGGAAGGTATGATTTCCAACAGGATCACTGAGAATTATAGCTGAACCAGATTTTCATGGGCAAGCACCGGATCGGCCTCAAGGCCTGCAGCCATGAGCGGCGGAACCGGCGCAATCGGCACGAGCCTCGTGGCGTGACAGGTGAGCGCGTGGCAGCCCTTCTGTGTCTGGCCTGCCACCTCAAATCAGCTGTAGTGCGCGGTGGAGAGCATGACTGACGCGGGCAAGGCAGGCGCACACACAGACTCCGCTGTTTTCACCGGTGCTTTGGTGCCTGGCCCAGCAAAGTGAAGCCGGGCATGGTGAGGCTCAGCTCGGCAAAGCAGAGGAGAGGCCCAATAAAGCGAGGCATGGCCAGGTGTGACTGGGTGAGGCCGGGAGGGGCAGGATGAGATTAGGCAAATAAGCTGCAGCTGCTCCTGTGCACCACCAGCCCCTGAATGGTTGCCATTTCCTGTGCGTGTGCCGGGAGGGTGCCCAGCCGGGTTGGGGTGAGCCAGGGCTGAGGCAGCAGGGGCCAGTCCCTTGCCATTTCTGGAACAGCTCCGGGGCCCAAATCTGGCCCTTCGCGGGCCGGACTAGGCCCGCGGGCCTTGTGTTTGACATGTCTGCTGTAAGGTGACTCTGCAGCAGCGCCGAGAGTTATGTTGCCTCCTAAGGCAGTGCATGTTGCACGTCTGTCCTTTGAACTGCATTGGTTGCCAGTTTGCTTCTGGCAAGTTTCTAGATTTAGCCTTTAAAGTTTAAGCATGGGATTGGATTAATTGAGGGACCGTCTCTCCCCGGGTACATCAACCCCCACCCCATTAGATTTTGCAGAGAAGGCATTCTGCAGCTACAGATCTAAATCTGGTGGGTCCCAGGAAACCTGCCTTTTCTGCTGTGACTCCCCTTATGGAATATTCGTGCCCCTGAAATGACCCAATTCTTTTTTATTTTTCATGACGCCCTGAATCTGGATATGCTGCCAGATCTGGGGCTTCCAGGGTTAGAGAATCTATTTCGATGGCTCTACTGGTTAGTATTTTTGTTTTTATGCAATTTATCACTGCAAATTTCTAGATTTTTACCTACTTGTATTGGCTATTTCATTTATTGTTGTACCCCGCTCAAAGTCACCCTTGGTAGGAGATGGGCAGCTCTATAAATTTGATGGACAAATAAATGAACATTCTTGCAATCTTTGCTCAGCTTGTAGGAGTTCAGTGCTATTCTGACCGCAAACGTCAGAAGAAGTCTGGTGCATATTTGGCAGAATCTCATCCCCTTTTACTTGTGCAGCTAAGCCAGTTTTATACATGCCACAAGGGACTGTCTGAATCTCTTGACCACACAGATTTGGATTTGTGATAATCAAATCAAATCAGAAGGAATGCAGTGCTTCTCCATCATCTGAATCTTGGACGCTGCCTACCCCTGGCCTAGTCCAATTTAACAGATTTTCTCTCTCCAAAAATATTGTTGAAATAATACATTTTGCAAAATATCAACATCTTCCCCTTCATTCAGCTTAGCCCTCATGAGAATTCCTATTCTCAATGTCCTGCTTCAACAAATATCTA